GCTATATTTAAACGCCAAAAATGAAAAGACCTCAGAATTAAAAAATATATATATTTTTTAACCCAGAAAGAAAAAGAAAACCGAAAAGGAAAACAAGAACTAACCGGCCGGCAACGTAAATCGTAGCCATGGTAGCAAACATGGCGAGGACCAAAGCCGAAAATCGAGAATGGAAAGCAGAGCCACCAGAGTTAGACAGCCGGTTACTCGATCCCCGGCTATGCATTTTCCCTTGCTCCTTTTCTGCAACCCTCGATAAATAAACAGGATTTAATGGAAAAACCCTTCTCTCTTTTTTTCTTTTAAAATTTAAGAAACAGATCTGGAGGAGAGATTAAACGAGGTTGACGAAAGAAAAAACACAGAAAGTCTTGAATTTAAATCAGAGTTGGAGTGTTGTTTCTTTTACTGTGTTGGTTCGAGGAATAAGACGTTCTAACTGACAGTTTCAAGGTCGTGTCTACCTTTTTCCGGTTTTCTGTTTTTCTTGTATTTACAAAGGTTAATAACATTAAAATCGAAAAGTAACGGGTCTCTTTCTAATTAACGGGCTTAGCTTTAATGGATTATTAGACCGCTGTTAACGAGGAAATACGGTATCGTTTCAATGTTCAAAGCCACAGGAAAATGTATCTTGTTGGCCATGTCCACGTGGCATAATCAACGACTCTGGATCTGTCTTGTAATAATATGTATTAATATTTGATATTACATCCATATAAAAAAATAGGATAAAATAATGTTACTTTTAACTTTTAGATATAATTCTAAATAAATCTATTAGTATTAAAAATAAATAATTTGTCTCAAAAATATAAATATCATTAATAGAAAATATGAAACAAAAAAAGCATAATATTCAAATAAACCCTTAAACTATTTAATAATATTTAAATAAATTTTTATTTTTTTATTACATTTAATAAGTTCTTATATTTTTATTTCAAATCAAATAAGTTTTTATAACTAATGATTAACTAATTGTGATTAGTAAAAGTATTACTTGTTATTTTATATTCACATGTCATTGATATAAAATTGATGTTAAGGGTGAAATATGTCACATGATTATATTATCATACTAAATTAATATATCATGTCATCGTCAATTATAATATGTTATCATGTCACATTACAATTAATTATAATATTTTAACATGACACATCAGTATTATGTGACATAAAATATAAATAATATTTTGATTAAATCAATTACTAATAATAAAGACTTATTTAATTTAAAATAAAAAATAAAAGAGTTTATTTAGCTCAAAATAAAAATATAATGATTTAATCGAATGAAATACAAATATAAGAGTTTATTTGAATTTTTTTAAATATTTTATGACTTTTTTTATATGATGCGAACAAAAAAAAATCATTTCTTCTTTATTAATTTTAAAAACTATTATTATATAATTCTTTAAAAAAATTTCAAGAAACACTTATTGGTGCTCTCTTCTCTTGGCTGCTCCCCACTTTTTTTTTTATAAAAAAATTATATAATAATAATTTTTAAAATTAATAAAAAGTAAAATTATTCTTTTCATATTATCACGTTATAGATTAATGAAAATACTAACCATTGATTAACAGTTAAAATTATATGTCTAGTAAATAATATTTTTTAAAATACAATACTTATTTTAAAAATTAATGAATTTATTTAAAATTTCAACAAAAACTTAAAAAACAATATTTTATCCGAAAATATATAATACACGTTACAACTTAGCTTAACCTTTTTATGTTTTGGAGTTTATCAATTATCACATTTGACTCCCTCACCGTTTTAGTTACTCGGCACATGGCATGGCACCCACGGTGCTTTTGGTGTCTCCATTTTGTGAAATGTGAATATATGGTCATGTATGTTCAATAATTGGTCACAATAATTAATGGGCTGGATCATGCAGTCATATTCTCTTTGTCGTGGATCATTTTTTAAGTACATAAATTTAGGCGACACTGCTTCAGATAAAAAGAAATATGTGAAAGCTTTAAAAAAAAAAGCTTTGATCTTAGTTTAGTAGTAATTATATTGATATTAAAGTCTTAACACTTGAGATCTTGTTTTGATGACGAGGAAGAAGAAAGATCTTGTAATTTTAAAATATAATCATACATATATTAAAATTACTTAATTGTGAATGAAATATTTTCATATAATATTTGATTTCATAAAAAAAACATAATATTTAAAAAATTCATAAATTATTTAAAAGAATATAAATAAGTTTTTACTATTATATAAAATTTAGTTAAGCTCATTTACTTTTATTTAAATCAAATAAATTTTTATATTTTTATCTTGATCCAAATTAACGTTTGTAATTAATGATTGATTAAGTCAAATTATCACTTATTATATTTATAATATGTGATACCAATATAGTATATTAACATATAATAATTGATAATGATATAGTATGTAATGTGTTATTTTTCACTTTTCATATTAATGTCACATGGGCATAAAATGACAAGTAGTATTTTTACTAATGATAATTTATCAATCATTAATTAAAAAAACTTATTTGATATAAAATAAAAAATATATAATTTAGTTAAATGTAATATAATAAAAGAATAAAAATTTATTTATATTTTATTGAATAGTTTAAGAGATTTTTTGAGTATTGTGCTTAAAAAAAAGGTTAAAATTTAAATATGTAGACTTTAAAAAATGAATAAATTCATGTTTTGAATAATTTGTTGGACCAATAGATTTTTTGTGGCACAATGTTTGAAAAAGTTCTTAAATTATTTAAAAAAATTTAAATAAGCTTAAATTATTTTATTGTATTTAATTAAAATTTTATATTTTTAATTTAAATAAAATAACTTAAATTAATAATTAATTAATTATTAATAATAAAAATAACACTTATAATTTTATTCTTGAGATGGAGGGTGAAGGATGTCACATGTTATCATATTACATTATTATTTATTATAATATATCAGTATGCTAGATAATATAAATAAAATTTATAATTAATTATAAAAAATTAGTTAATTTAAATAAAAATACAATAATATGTTTAAATGTAATAAAAGAATACAAATCCATTTAAAATTTTTATAATAATTTAGAGACTTTTTAAAATATTATGTATTTTTTTATATAATATAGTGTAAGGAATTTCTTAGTACTATAAATAATTGGATTGAAAAAAAAATCCAAGTATTCTTCATAAAAAATAATTAACCACTAATATTCACTAAAATTATCACAAATGTTATTATAATAAATTTTGTTAATTTTCAAATTCATCTCACTAACTTCCCAAAGAACAAAATTTTATCACTTGAGAAATTTTTAAATTTTTTATTAAACTAGTGTATTAAAATCCAAAAACAACAGCGGGATCAAAATCCGACGATTGATAATTTGATACTTCCCAAAATCTGACGATCAGACAATGTCCCCGTCATTATGAGGATAACTACAAAATAGCCTAAAAGAATAAATAAAAGG